TTACTTTGTTATAGGTTGTTCTAATATCAACCCCTGTCCTTGGATATTCGCTAATATTTCTCATCTCGTCGTAGGTCAGCAGCCTCCCTGTCTTTCGTGCGCTTCTCCGGAGAGAGGCGACAAGCGTGTGCCCTCCGAGGGGCCCCACAGCCCCCACATTCCCCGCCGTGCGTGCCCGGAGCGCGATTTATGCGACTGGAAAATACCTCTCCGGAAGCTGAGGCTGACTACAACCATTATTTGTTCTAGTTCGCCGTCGTCGCGGTGCACAGTCATACCCCGATTCCTCGTTTACCTCGCGCGCGTCCCCCTTCACTCCCTCAGTGCCCCACGCGACCATTTTCTAACCAGACCTGGACCCCACCTCTTCCCCGGTTGGCCTCGAGCAACCATCCGCGACCTCCCCATCCTCCTCCACCTCCTTCTTCTCGCCGTATCCTCCCTACGCGCGCGTTTCGCATATATATCCCCGAAACCTCCGTCTCTTCCCCCTACTTTCCTCCGTCCGTCATCTCCCTCCTATATATCCGCCTCTCCACCACCCGTCCGCGTCGTCTCTAGCCCCTCGGCGCGCCGACGTAGCCTCGCGCTACGTCTATTTATCCACCTAGCGGTATGATATTACACCCCGGGGCACACTTTGGGGATTTCCCCCACCCCATCGGCAGCCGAGAGAGTCGAGGGTGCCCCCCTCGGAGCCACGCCCAATCGCGAGCCGGCAGTCGTGCACCGCTCCGGCTGTTTCCAGAGCCGAGTCCATTGGCCCGCGCTGACTTTGCGTCATCGCCACCCCGTCGTACGCCGGCACCGCGTGCGTTTCACGGACGACGAGGCTCTCTCGTATCCACCGCCGCCGCCGCCGCCGCCGCGACTCCGCGGACCGCTCGTGGAACAGAGGGATGAAAGAGGGAGGGGGGGGGGCAGAGAGGGAAAGATAGGGAGACTCGCGCGACGAAGAGGGTGTTGAAATTTAGAAGGCTTCATTTGGTCCATTCTTCGGCCGTCGCGGCGCGGCAAACTGTCGCAGTTACGGCGCTTATACTTGAATTCTCCCTTTCTCTCCCTCGCTTTCACCCTCCGCTCCCATCTCTCCTTTCTCTAGTTTTCTTTCTTTTACTATTTCTCTCCTCGCTCTCGGCGAGCCAGTGGATTTTCCTAGGAAAAATCTCTGTTCGCTCGCGATATTGGATTCTTATGCGAAGTACATTCCGATTTTGTACACGTATTACCAAATATTTTATTACGAAATATTTTTGCACGCAAAATAACGCGCGTTTTCTTTATACCCGATACGATCTGGTTGAATGTGCATGGAAATGTGTTATTCTTTAACTTTGGAGAGAATAAGAGCTTTGTTATGTTTAACTCTTCAACGCGCTTAATCGTATCTTTTAACGCAAAATATGTGCATATACCTATTTTAATCGCTTTATGTTTACTCTGTTACCTAAATATTTTTTATATCGCATAATATATTTTTGCTATTAAGATGTTCTCTATATATCCACGTTTGTTTAATTCATTAAAAATTCTTAATTATTATAATACAAACGATAAACATACTTTGATATTCAATTCGCAGACCCACAGGAGGTCAATTAGAATCTAAATCTTCATAATCATTGTTGTAATATATAACATATATTAATACGAAATTAATTTAATATGATAAAAGATTTTCTATATAATAAAATTTTCCCTCCCATCACTTTTATGGCTACTGTGCTGAATATAAAAAAAAATCTCGGATTAGATCGCATATACCTATATATTAAAAAATATTAAAGCGACGATAAAGCGCGAACGATCGCAAATACCGCAAATCTGGGTTAAAAGGGCGACTTCGACTCGATGGCTTTTGTAGATACCGAGAGGAAGGGTTTAATGTGAAGTTCCCGCCGTATATACGTTCTCGGAGTACGTTGAGTGCCGTAGATGACGCAAACTCGTTTGCAAGATATTCTTCCAGCATTCGTAAAGAGCATTCTTGAAAAACACGCGCGCTCTGACAACTTGCCGCCCTATACTCGCAGATAAGTTATGAGAAAGAGGAGAGAACTATAACGGGGACTATATCTCTCCCGTAGCATAGCGTGCATAAGTGTGAATAAACAATTTGTACAAAGTATAGGGTCGGAAATGGCGCATCGGATCTTTTCTAAATTTCAGCACGTACATAAAAGTTTTTTTGAAAGCATTCCATGTATTTTATGGTGGCAATTTCTTTTCATCATTTGGGATTCTATTGTTATAATAAAATAAAGTATTAAAGAGATTTCTTTTTGTTAGCAAAAAGTTACTAGATTTTTCATACTTAGGAAGTGTGAGAAGTAAAATAAAAATTAACAGATTATTATCACCGATTTACTCATTAAATCTGGAAGACCAATTTCTCCGCAACGAAATTTTCTCTCCCGCGCGTTATAGGGTAACATCTAAAAGTCAAGTAGACAAAAAGGGCATCGATCCGGTATTCAACTGGACAGAGCAACGCTATTTCGTTAATTTTGAACGGTCGCAAAAGTTTCAGGAATGCATAACGTGAACTAGACAAAGAGCAATTAAATTCAAAAAGCGCGCTAACGTTGATAATAATATCAAGTGGAGTTGAATAACAGTTATATGTCAAGTTATTTATCAAGGTGTTATGTGCGATCTTCCAGGCTTTTCATCTCCCTCTCTTCGCCGCACAATGCGAGACAAAATATTCAAAACGTAACGCTTAATTCTGTTTATATTTAATTCTACAATCTATATAATTAATTTTATAATTGCGGTGAAAAAATTGTCTTTTTAAAAGAATAGAAAGATCCAGCTGACTCTAAAATTTATTCATCCCGCTTCAATAATACACAGAGAATAATAAAACAACGATATCTTTCGTAGCTGAATAAATACAAACGTAACGTAATCAACTCCACAATTAGTAGATGATTATTACCAAATTTCGAGTCTTTCTTCGCGAAGAAGAAAAATTAATTTCGCGAGATATCTTTTCTTCGATATAGAAAAACTCCATCGAGTTTCAAATCAATTCGTCTGAATTAAACAATTGCGGAAATCAAAGAGAGACGCGGAGCGTTTCTTCACAGAGTCATTCTCATCTCGCCTGATCGAGCGATTTCCACACAGAGAAAAAAAAATATATTTTAATCCAAAAAAATATTCATTAGGTGGCATCCTAACAACTTATTTACTTAATATAATACACATATTTATTTAGAGAATTAGATATTTTTATTTACTTAAAATAAAAATATCCAATTCTAAATAAATATGTGTAAAAAGTAAGTAAATAAGCTGTTGGGAGCCACCTAATAAATATATTCTTCGATTTCTTTCTCAGTGCATCGCGCGAGAGCGCGCGTACACACACAAGTATTTAAATACTTATCCCCGTCGCGCGAGCACGGCGTTCAGCCGGCGGGAATTAAAGCGCGGAGTATAGCGCTAATAGCCGCACGGGCAATTAAACGCGGCGAATACATAAATACACGTCATTAACTCGTCGCTCAAAGAGTTTGTCGGGGCGATTAGGTCCTTTAAGGCCCCAGCGCACGCCATTCATTCGGCGGAGGGGCCGGGAGCGTCCCTCCGGCCCTCATCGTCGAGGCGCAATTTTCGAGCCTTTCTCGAAAAGACTTAACTTACTGATCGAAGTTCGCTCTTCGTGCCACTTTCTCTCCGCGACGCGGAAAATATTTTACACGCGACGGGGGGGGATGGTTCTCGGGGCCACGTGGCAAACTTCCGGGAGAAGTTGCGAGTAAAAAGAAAGAGCGGCGGTCATACAGACGGCTAAATTACAACCCTCCCTCCCTCCCCCGGACCCTCACCGGTAGATCTCTCGCGAAAATGTTCGCATCTATCGCAATAAACGATACGCGTGATTGCGATAATTTCGTCTTTCCGTCAAGCCAAATCGATCTTATCTAATGGTTATTCTTTAGGGCGGCAGTGTGGTCTAGTGGTAGAGCGCCATAATCCATTGATTTCTGTCGTCATAAGCTACTTTCGTTAAAGTTTGAACCTTCATACATTGTGTTAAAGGCTGGATTCGGGGAGCGCGCTATTAGCGCTATTTGCTTGTTCTATCCTTGTTTTACACCTGATGAGCGATAAAGACAGAATGATGCAATAGCGCTAATAGCGCGCTCCTCGAATGCAGCCAAAACATCAACGTCCATCTCCCCTGAAGGGAGTCAATAAACAAGTAAAAAAAAATTCGAAATTTTCGACGCGGAAAGAATGAGCTGCGATTAATATATCGTACACGATCGGACATATCTAATAATTTCGCTGAAATTATTACATTAAATTTCTGAATACTTCTGGCTGGCTATACAAAACTTAACCAAAAATGCGTGTCTCCTATCACTTAACCCTTTGGACCAACGGCTTAATACGTCTCTTTCCGAAAGACGGAGCCCAGTTTGCTCCGCACAAGGGAGCTCCTAATGTTGCACGGAGGCCGCAGCTTTCGGAAAAAACTTTCCATGGCTCTATAGTGGTGGACTCGAACCTGATGGTCCCTCAGATTACGAGTCTGGCGCTCTACTACACTAAGACCACACTGCCGCCCCGGAGAGCAAATATTTTTTCCGCGAACAAGAGACTCTTGATCTTACCTTGCAAGGACGCGAAGGTCGCAAAGTGGCCATCACGTTCGCCGCGCGAATCCGGTGTCCGTCCTGTTTGCTCCAAACCTCCAGACCCGCGCGATTGTCACAGCCGCGAGCCTCTCGGGGAGCCGCCTTTCTTCGCGATTCCTCGCCGGGCACTGCCGAGAACAAGACGTCGGGGATAAATTCGTTGTTTCAACTCGCCTCTACGCGAAATCACGAATTTCGAAACGCGCACTACGACGAGGACTCCGCGTACGCGCTCGCGCGCGGCGCACAAACGAGCTGCCTTCCGACTCTTCCGAGATGATACATCGAGAGCCATCTATGAGAAGCTTACGAGATGCTCGACGGTCGCGTTGAAACATGGCGCCGCCCTTGGTCGCGATATTATTAGCCTAACCTTCTCTCGGTGTCCGAATCCGAATTAAAAAGAAAATTCCGTCGTCGCGTCGTCTACGTGAAAATTATCGCGGTGATATTAATTGTGATGTATGTGGTCGCGAATTTAATAAACGAGAAGTATATGCGAGATACGTGTCGGCGTAATTAATAGGTGTCAGTTTGATAATAATACGAATTATATCCTAAGAATGTCTGTGTTACGCGCTGCGTTATTCACTTGTCATAATAATAGCTCCACGATTTCGAGGTAATTAATAATTATAAATTATTTTTATACTTATGACTGTGCCGCATAAATGTCTAAAAAATGTAAAAATTGTATAAAAATTATTTATGTGCATTTACCTTTATTTTACTTTATTTCTCATGCATAATGTTTTATTCATTCTATAATGATATAATCTTTACTATACTTTATTTTTATAATAATAGATAAATTCTACATTTATAGAATTAAGATTATTTAGTACAGTGGTCACTTTTCACTTTAGATGATATTAAATCGGTTCTTATTGAATTAATTTCAGGTATTCCTTGCAGAAATGTGTTCTGCAAGGAAGGAGCCAAAATGTATGGGAAGCAGCAAAGCGTGAATTCACTAAAGTTACTCGAAGATGCGCCAGAGAAAATGTGAATGAGTCGAAGCTTGCCTCGTGCATATTGAAATTTGGTGGACTTGGGATAACGACCGCTTGTCTTTTAAAGTCATGTAATCAAATTGTGTTTTGTAAAGAGGCTAGAAGGATAAGCGACATAAGTCCAGTCACTCCGAGCGAGCCTGAATTGACTTTTGAATGGACAAAATTTTTTCAATATTTATACCCGCATATCTGGTACTTGTTACTGGCACTATCGGTGAGTATTTATAAATGCGGCAAAAGTATAATTGATAAATCTGACATTGTTGCAAATTACATACCGGCAATCCACTACTTTGTAGAGCGCATTAATAGTAGCACTGTTAAACATACAAATACCGCAGTGCGTTGGAAGTGTCATAAATGTGCTGACTGAAATATGTCAGAACAAAAGTGATTCTGCAAAACACGTCATTCTGCAGCTCACTCAGCCAGCTTTCGTTTTGGGACGCATGTACTTTGCGCAAGTAAGATAATTAGAACAATATTCTTCTCCCAGTGTCACTAAATTCCATACTTGTCCAATTAAATTCTAATATTTATCTTTCTAGGCATTTTTTACCTTTATATATATTTATACTCTCTCACACGTTGGTGAAAGGGTCGCAGTGAGCCTACGTCAGGATTTGTTCAAGTCAATTATTATGCAAGACATAGCGTTTTTTGACAAAACACGCTCTGGTGAAATAGTAAGTCGATTGACCAGTGATATTCAGGATTTTAAAAGTTCATTTAAGACTTGCATTTCTCAAGGTTTGAGAAGCTTCACGCAAATTATCGGTTGTATCGTCTCTGTAATAGTGATATCACCGCAACTGACCACTCTTGTGGTATTCAGTTTGCCCCCAATAATTTTTGTCGGTACTCTCCTGGGAAGGAGCTTGCGCAAGTTGTCGATGGAAGCGCAAAGTCAAGTCGCAAAATCTACTGCCGTGTGCGAAGAAGCCATACAAAATATCCGAACGGTACGTCAAATAAATGACTAAAAAGGTATCTTACAAAAATTTTAATACTCCTTACCACACTCCTTACACTCGCTTTTTTTTCTTTATCAGGTGAGAGCTTTCGCCGCGGAGGAGAAAGAGGCGGAAATGTTTTACAAGGAGATCGAACGTTCGTCTGATTTATATGAACGATTAGGTTTCGGTATAAGCTTCTTTCAAGCAGGAACGAATTTGTTGCTCAACGGTATCTTACTGTCCACGTTATATTTTGGTGGGCAGTTACTCTCCACAGGACAATTGTCCCCGGGAAATCTCATGGCATTTTTAATGGCTACGCAAACCATACAGAAGTCCTTAGGCCAGTTGTCGGTGCTCTTCGGGACCTTTGTCAGAGGACAAAGTGCGGGGGCCAGGATTTTCCAGGTAATTTTTATTTGGATTATGCAATTTTATTTATAAGAAAGAATTTATAAAGTAGGTATTATTGTCTCTTTCTTTTAGTATCTAGATATGCCGCCTTCGCCAATGATGACCGGTGGTGATGTAATCACGGATAAATCCCTGGCAGGGAATATAGTTTTCAAAAATGTGACATTTAGCTATCCCACTCGACCTAATTATGTCATTTTGGAAAATTTCAATTTACACATTCCCGCTGGAAAAACCGTGGCTATTGTCGGCACTAGCGGTAACGGTAAATCAACAGTGGCTGCATTATTAGAAAGGTACGATCCATTTTCGAATCCAATGACGATCATATTTTACTTAAAATTTATAAAAATTAATTATTTAAAATGGTACAGATTTTACGACGTCGACGAAGGCTCCATTACTATTGACGGTCGAGATATCAGATCTCTTAACTCAAGTTATCTCAGAGGCAATGTTTTGGGTTATATAAATCAAGAGCCTACTTTATTCGCCACCAGTATCATGGAAAATATTAGGTACGGAAGGCAAGACGCAACAGATGAAGAGGTAATAAATAATTGAAATTAATATGAGTATTACTGCACGATTTTACTATTTTTAAATACTATTTTTAAATAGTTTAATCAATTTAGGTCATTGAGGCAGCTAAGGAAGCAAATGCGCACGAATTCATAACGAAATTCCCAGACAGCTACGCGACAGAAGTTGGAGAAAGAGGCACGCAGCTCTCTGGTGGACAAAAGCAACGGGTTGCTATCGCCAGAGCTTTGTTAAAACAACCGTCTATATTAATTCTGGATGAAGCAACAAGGTAGGAAATTGCAATGAGATTGTAAGATTTGTTTTGGTGTTTATCCATTGTCTATGTTTAGCGCGTTGGACTATGAAAGTGAGAGAATCGTTCAAAAAGCAATTGAAAATGTTACGAGAGGCAGAACAGTGCTTGTAATCGCTCATAGGTTGAGTACCGTTAAAGGAGCTGACGTAATTGTCGTGTTACAACGTGGTATCATTGTGGAGGTATGCTTTAATTTAATCGATAAAATTAACATATTTTTATTAGAATCCTCATAGGTATATAATATATAAATAAAATATATTTTTCCTTAGATGGGCACACATTCGGAGTTAATTAAACGGAAAGGGGTATATCACACACTCGTTAACGAGCAAGAAAAAGAAAACATGTAAGAGTAATAAGACTTAGAATATGCAAATTATATTAGTACAAATGTGATTAATGTAAAAATCGGTAAGAAGGTATTATTTATTATTATATTTCCTCGTTTTGTAAAATAATTTTTTCTTTATATCTCGTTGGTTGTATAGAAAAATGGATTTATATACTATGTATATGTATTCTATTCATGACTACCTCAGGAATGGGAATCAAATTACGAATCATAATAAATTATTATTTTACCTACATATAATATTCATATCATATATGTATACGCATGCACTTTTCAACGATATATCTACATTCTCTGACGAAAGTATATAATATATTATGAATTTATTTAAGATATATATTTATTTATAATCAGTATGTTATTCAGTGAAAGAAGCAGGTGCTTCCATGCTATCCTTACCATTTTGCATTACCAGATCTGGGTCTGAAATAGATGGATTTTGTATGGAAGGTACTGTAGTTGCAATATCCATCGGTGCGGTTATTTCCTTCGAAATCAAAGTGGATCTCGGAGTCGGTGTTAAATATAAATCGTCAGTATTTTCAGGTGAATAGGTAGAAATACTTTCGACTTCATCCGGTGTAGATAAGCTGGTGTCTGCAAGTTTACTGTCTATCGAAGGAATAGCTTCAAGTGATCCTTCTGTAGCAAGCTGATCAACAGCTGTTTGTGATGGCAGAATCACAGGTGTCGACGTAGGGGATAATACATCAGAATCATCATTCCTCGGACTATCTGTGGTCGCTGGTATATAATCTAACGCTGATGTTAAACTCGGATCAACTACTTCAGTGTTGGAATTTGGTAATGTTACCGCACTATCATCTTTACTATACATTTCTGTATTGAAATTCGATGCGTTCTCTTCGTTGTTTTTGTATTGTTCTGTAGGCGCATCTTGCACTTTTTCATCTATATTTGGTGATACTTTGCTGATTGGAGGGGATTCTGGTACGTCACTTATTGTTGGTGTCAAGTACGGATCAGCTGAATCTGTATTGAAATTCGATGGAATCACAGTACTATCTTCGTTATTTTTATATTGTTCCGTAGGCACATTTTG